GCAGGCATTGCAGTTTTCCATGCATCTTATCGATTTGCTGAGCATACTTCTCAGATATAATGTTTCACCAGGGTTCAGAAAGCTGTAGTGGATCTCACCGGCAGCAGACCACCAAACAGTGACCATTACCGTTTTTTTGGTGCAAATTTGACTTTGGGAAGTGCTTTGGAAGTTCTTCTCAGTCCAGCCACTGAGCTGGTCATCGCTTGTTGTCATATAAAAGCCACTTTTTGTCGCACGTCACAATCCGAGAAATGGTTCATATTATTGTGTAGAGTAAGAGAGGAAGACATTTCAAAATGACGATTATTTTGATGTTCACTCAGCTCACGAGGCACCCACTTAGCCAGTTTTTTCACCTTTTCAACTTGCTTCAAATGTAAAATGACCATAGAATGATCAACGTCGAGTTCTGTGGCAACTTCTAATGTAGTTGTAAGAGGATCAGTGTCGATGATTGGTCTCAATTGGTTGTTATCAACTTGCCAAGGGTGGTCACTATGCTCTTCATGTTTAAGGCTTTCATCTCCTTTGCAAAACTTACTCTTTTTTTTTTTTTTTAAAGACAAGAGTCTCACTTTGTCACCAGGCTGGAGAGCTGTGACATGATCTCGGCTCACTGCAACCTCCGCGTCCCAGGTTCAAGGGATTCTCCTGCCTCAGGCTCCTGAGTAGCTGGGACTACAGCCATGCGCCACCACGCCCAGCTAATTTTTGTATTTTTGGTAGAGACGGGGTTTCACCATGTTGGCCAGAATAGTCTTGATCTCTTGACCTCATGATCCACCCACCTCTGCCCCCCAAAGTGCTGGGATTACAGGCGTGAGCCCCTGCACCTTGCCGCAAAACTTCTTGAATCACGACTGCACTGTATGTTTGTTAGCAGTTCCTGGGCCAAATGTGTTATTTATGTTGTAGGTTGTCCCTGCTACTTTACCACCCATTTTGAACTCAAATAAGAAAATCACTCGAATTTGCTTTCTGTCTAACATCATTTCCATAGTCTAAAATCAACATAAAATAAACAGCAAGTAATAATTCCTTAGGAAAAAAATTAAGAAAGCAAGAAATACCCATTAAAATTATATGTAACATAACCACATTTAAGAATGTATTCAAATATCAAACAGCAAATTCCAACAATGCAAAAACCCAATTACCTTTGTCCTCACCTAATAATCTTAGATTGATTCATTTATTTATTAAGTGAACATTTATTGCGTGCCAGCTGCTTCCATGCCGTCATTGAGATCGTATCTAGTGGAGTTATCAAACAATAAACAAGCAAATAAAATAATTAAGACGTGATAAATAGTGGAAAAGAAACAAGGTGATATAATAAATAGGGATGGCCAACTTTGTGTGGGGTGGTTAGGAAAAGACCTCTCAAGGGGACATTTATGCAGATTCCTGAAGGTAAGAATGAGCGAAGCATGGAGAGAGCTCAGGAAAGAGCATTGCAGGCAGAGGAAACTGCAAGTGTAAAAACCCTGATATGGGAAGGGGCCACTGTTCCTGTCTGTTAACTGAGAATATTAATTCTTCCTGCCTACTACTCATAGGAGCCCTGTGGCGATACCCGTAAATTTAAATACAAAATGACTTAATCTGGGTTAGATCTGTATAATAGGCAGTGAAGGAGAAATTGGGGTCTTTTTCTCTACTTCTAGGAAGAAAAAATTATTGGGGTATATGAGAGAAAACACAAGAAAATGTTCAGAGATCTCTCTCTTGCCTTCTGTATCTTCATTTAGGGATCTGTATCAAAGACCATATTGTATGGTACTAGTTGTCAGTGTGGGAATTCACAGAAGGCAAAGATCTTGGCCTGGAGTCTTGGCCTGGACTTGACTTTGCCCTTAAAGAATAAGTAAATTTGGACCAGCCAAAAGGAGGCGGAAGAGAGTGATTTAAAATGAGAGAATGTATAAATAAAGTTGCTAAGATGGACTGAATATGAATGAGTACTTAAGACCATGAAGACTCAAAAGCTGGAGCTGGAGCCAGAGCCAGACGGACGGAAAATAATTGAAGGGTCTGATTCATAAAGGTGGTTGAATGGTCAGTAGAGCAGATTTGACTTGATGTTAGACAAGAGAGGAAGTCATGATCATTTCTTGAACAAGAAAATTGATAGTAAAAAGAGAAAGTTGGTAATATAAATACAGATTAATAGAAATGAGGAAAAATTATTAATGAAAATAAGGGAACAAGCAGACTAGATAGGAGGACCTTCTTTTTTTAAATCATACATTTCATTGTACCTGGCAATGAGAACATGGCCTATGCTCCTATCAGAGAATGAACTGCATACAAGACATTTCAAATGAGTTAACAATGATACTTGGTGACTGAAGCGGGCAGTAAATCAAAAATGCCTGCTCACTTGAGTCCAAGGGACTGACCAGAAAGTAATATCAGTGATAGAGCTGGGGAAGTTTGCCCAGGATATTAAAAGATTAATTCCATGTTGGACATGTTAAGTTTCAGAAGATAACAAGACACCCAAATTGTGATGGGTGTACACAGGTAGAAGCACTGAACTAGAGCTAAAATAGAAAGTTGAATTTGAGAATGCAAATAGGTGATGAGAACTGAGGCCTTAGCTCTTGAGAATGCATGCACATGATTAAGAGTGTGTGTATGTTGGGGAGGAGGCAAGGAGACAGGTGGGGAGTAACTAACACACATACACGCACAGAGAGAGAGAACGAGAGAGGAGTCTGAATAAGTAGAAGGTACCAAAGCAATGGTTGGATAAAAGCCAGCTTCTTGAGGAAATACCATTATCATTATCAACATAAAAACTACAACTACCTGTTAGTGATTACTATGTGTCTTAAAGTCTTTAAATTTAATAACTTATTATTTCTTTCCACAGCCTTTAAAGAGTAAATGCTGTTGTTATCTGCATTGTACAGATGAGGAAGCTTAGGACAGAGAAATTAGGCAAGTTGTACAAGATTGCCCAGTTTGGAGAAGTGGAGCTGAGATTCAAGCACAGGCATTGTGCATCGAAGCCTGAGCTCTCAACTCCTGTGCCATATGGTTATACCCAACTTCATGTTTTAATTACATGGTTTGACTTTGATCTTATGTAAGTTTCTTGAAAAGGAGTTAATTAACAGTTTTAAAAAGTTGGGCAGAAACGAGAAAGTCAACAGATGGCTGGGCAGTGATTGGATAAATCCTTATAGCAGAAGACAACATGAAATTTCTCTAGGGTAAGGCAGAGAAAGGGAAAGAAGAATATACCCTTTGCTCTGCTTTTTTTCCTCCTCTCCATACGCTACAAGTTATTGATACAGGAAATTATCCTCTTTGACAAGAGTTACAATAATTTGTGGAGAAAATGGCACCTCTATTTTTTAGCATTTTCTATATACTACAAATGTGCTTATTTGTATACAAGGAATATCAGTTTATCTAAATTGACTGTCAACCAAAGTCATTTCTTTCTTGACTTCCACTACTAAATGAGAGTTAGATTCCAAAAGATCTATGGTATGCATAAGGAAAATTTTAAATTAAAAAATAATTTTTTTTAAGATCCCAAAAGATAGGGTTTGGGAAGTAGCGTCAACATTGGTATTACTGGATTACCTTCCATCTGGGAGCCCAGGTGCCTGGATGTCTTAGTGGAGAGGCTCAGAACTTAGGGCAGGAGTTAGACACTGAAGCCCTTCCCTCTGGGGAGAAGCCACACACGACTTCTTTGTTGATTGCTTTAGTGAATGCTTCCCCAGTGGCCGACAGAGAACGTTGCTTCTATTTTCCATCCTCTTCAAGGCTCCTCCAGCCTCTCTCACTTCTTCCTTGTTTGAGGAGGAAATGGTACACTTCCAGTCCGCCATGCTGACTCATACAGCTTAAAGGACGGGACTAGGCACCTGCTTGGTGCTACAACTGTAGCAGGCCTTTCTTCAGTAAATAAGCTAGTGCTTTTCTTTGGACCTAAAACTGAGGATAGATCTCATCTAATTAATCTTCCTAAAACACAGTTCTGCACAGTAGAATTGGCAGCTCAAAAACTTTCATTATTTTTCCATTCTAACCAGAAAAAAAGTTGTAGCCTTACATTTGTGGCCCTCCATGTTCTGGCCTGAGCTGTGGATGCATGACCTCATTTACCGGTATCCCCTTTTTTCAGGCCGGCTGCCCAATTCCCTGTTTATTCTGTAGGGCCCCATTTGCCTTCTTCTGTGGGGAGGAGGCTGATCCCTCAGGGAGTCCCTCTTTACTTTCCAATCTTCACTCCAGTCTGTGGTATTATCGGCCCCAGTTCAATGCTGCATGCAGTTCTCATCTAAATGCTGTCTCCAGCATACAGCCTCACTGAACTCACCTAGTAGTTTATCTCCAGCTCTCATTTTATCTGTGTTCTAGATATTTATGTGCATATAATTATCTTCCCTACTAAACTCTGGGCAGAATCTGTACCTAATTTAACTTAGTATTTTTTATATCACTTACACTTAACGTCAGAAAAAGTTAAAGCTACAAGGGCTGAGAAGACACATAGACCTGTGATAATGTCTTTTTAAAACTTCTCCTTCCTCTGTGCTCTAGTGAATAATAGTGCTGAAGGTGGGATAGACCAGACCTCCTGGTTCTCAGTCTTATCCTCCAACAACAGTGGTTCCCCCACTGGCTTGCACGTTCAAATCACCTGGCATCGCCTGTGATGCTTTTAAAATCCTGATCCAGAAGCTTACAACCAAAGAAATTAGAATCTCAAGAGTAAGACGTTCACATCAGTAGCATCCAAATCTCCCCACATGATTCTAATGAACAACCAAGATTGGGAATAAATATCCCCCAGTGTGATGGCCCCTGGACCATTGTTGCTTTACTGGGTAATTCTGTTAATTTGGTAAACTTTTTGTCCGATATTAAGGTAGAAAATATTAAAGTAGAAAAGTGGTAACTGTTAGATAATAGTGTAGTACCTCTTGTTTTGCTTGCAACAGTAGCTTACAGTTAACTGTTTAACTTTTCAGATTTTTCGAAAGAAAGCAGTGGAACTTGGGGTAAAATTACTACCTGCATTTCATACTCCCTCTGGAATACCTTGGGCATTGCTGAATATGAAAAGGTAAAACTCTTCATTTTCAACAACATGTTTTAAGTTGAAATATTCAAGATTGTTGCTTAATAAGTATACATGAGATAGATAATTACTTGTATGATGCTGGTGACTAACAGACTCCACTGGGAGTCTTGAGATCTGTCTTTTCGTTGGCAGCTATTAGCTTTCCAGTGTTCCATAGCCTCAGATGTGTCCCCACTGTGGGATGGCTTGACCTCAACAGAGTCATTCAGGCCAGACAGGATTGGAGGTTTTCACTGTTTCATAGTGACATTGCATCAATGATACTGTCTCTCTCCATAAATACCAAAAGAATCCCATTATCTTTAAAGTTGTCATCAAAGCATTTCACTTCCAAAGAAGCAAATTCCTAAGAACCTTTATTTCAGTTGAGCTACTGGTTAGAAGTATGGCAGAGATACAATATTTGGCCTAATCAGATCCCCCATAAAAGGAGCTGGTATAATGGAGACTGGGAGCACCTGCGGTTACCCAGCCCCCAGTTGTAAGAAGGGAAGGCAGCTGATGCACTCACTCAGATCAATCCAACCTTCTGATCTTCTCTGGTGGAGAACCCTAATATGCCAAGTTCTTGAGAACGTGGCCCCAATTGGAAAACACACACACACAGACATACATACCCCCAGGCTGAACAGACTTTCTGGTGTTCTCTGATGTTTTGAAGTTAAACTGAATGAAATTGAGCAACCATTTTGCAGCTGATAAAAATAATTTCTTCTTGGCAACATGCATGAATTTTTAATTATAAATTGTATCCACTCTCAATCCCATTTACTAAATACGAGTGACTTACCCAAATTCACACAATAAGCACTGGCAAAATTAATAGTATCAGTTCACTAAAATTCCCCATTCCTTTGCCTGATCAAGTACACTCCTTGAATCAGCTATACTTCAAGGTGTGAGGATGATTTATCATCTTAAAAGTTTTCCTGTAGGGGAAGAAGTGACATTTCGTATTTATCTACAATATTACTTTTCAAGATGTGCTTTTGGTGTCACTTGTACATATATACTGTTCTGCGAATCACTTTATTTCACAGTATGGGCCAAGGTATAGGGAACAGCTGGCCTAAAGCTGCTTTCTTAGTTTTGGAAGGCTGTCACCAGCAAAAGTTTCAAAGGAGGGGGGAAACATATATGTGGCAAAATCATATTTTTTAATTACCTTCTCAGAATAAGAGAATGTAGAAAGCTACCCAGGAGAAGAAAAAAGGGGGGTTTAAAGATGCTTTTTAGACTAGCTGTGTTAGTCATTGTTGACTGACTTTGAAACTCTTGGCAAGAATTACCACTGGAGAGACACTGAATGTGCTGGCTGTAATATCGTAATTCTGCTCTTCCCTTTCAATTTTGAAAATCGTTTTGAATGTGTCTCTTTGTCAACATCTATATGTTAACAGCAGTGTAAACTTATTGGTATTATCTGTTCACATTCCTCTGGTATTCTGGTTATTGCCTAAAGATAATTGGTTTCTTTACCTTTTCTTTGTCAAAACTAAGCATTTATTTGAGTCTCTGCTGTGATAAAGATTTCTTACTAAGTCCTGGGAAGAGTTTCTACTTCTCTTCACTTTATTCAAGAAGATAACAGGCATGTTCTTTCCCTCAGGGGACTCACAGCCTGGTTGGTAAAGCAGAATATATTTTTTCTGTGTTACACACTCACACATGTAATTGACAAACTTAAGATGGGCCAAGGAGAGATAATAAGTACTCACCAGGTTGAATTTAAAGCAAGCAGCATTTTGAATTGGGGAGGTTTATGTATTTGGAGACAAAACATCAATAAGTCAGGTTGTATTTCAGTATTTGTGCAAGCTGAATATATGCAGAGAAACTAAATAATTCACTCATACACTACATTAGGAACTCTATTCCAAAAGCGGTTCAGAAAAAAAATATTTTTAAATTGTCTTTTCTTCCACATCTATTATAAATTCTTAATTCGATAAGAATTCTTAATTCAATAAATTCTGAAATTGTGATTTAATAGAAAGTACTCATTTGATGACCTAAATGCTATACACAGTTCCTCACTGGACTAACATGTTTCCTTCACCAATACGATCGTAGAATGAGGATGCATAAGTTACATACCTCCGCTAAAAGAAAATCATTGCCTTTCTAGTATTAGGTTTTGGTAGAGCTCAATTTCTCTAAGGTGAAAATGTCAAAGTTTGGTGTCTGTTCTTGTTATTACTATTAGCAAGAAGCCTATGCTTTTTTTTCTCCAACCTGAAGCAGAAAAATTACCTCTGTGATTGTAAAATCAGGCATTTCACCATTACTGTATTTCCAAAGGTAATTCAAGTCTAGGTAGAATAGACTTAGATTTGGGGGTTTTTTAAGTGTGTTCTTAAAATAGTGTAGTTAATGTTCCCATTATTCATTTCTATCACAGGGCCTACAGTCTGGGCATTCCTCATAATTATTCTGTCTTTCTTGATAAATGAGTTAGTTTTAGCTGTACACTATTTTATCACTTCTCTGTGTGGATTTTTCTGACGCCTGCTTGGTGTTACATTAAGTTAGTAGAGCTGTCTACAGTGTGTGCTTTTATTGCACACCGTCAAGGCATAGGTAGGAAATGACTGATCTTCATTCAGACTCTCATTAGCAGTGAGGTGACGAATGAGGCACAACCCCTCACCTATTTTATTTCCTGCTTTGTAAAGCTTTATTTACTGACTGTTCTAATTATCTGATGAGAATACATACAATGTCATTAGTTACATTACAGTTTATATTATAATTAAATTGCAGATTGCTCTACTTTAACTGAAATAGGGCTTTAATTAAGAATAGTACATAGCTGCCTGTCTTCTAATAGTGAAAGATTATCCTAGGGAAGCATGTAATGTGTATATTTTAAGAAAAGGTGATAGCCCCTTGTTGGGTTTATTAATACTTTGGTGGTATAAAATGTTTAAATATTACATTATAGTTGGTTAATTTTAATAAACACAAACTATGAAAGATGGTCTAATAGGTTAAATATTGTTAAAGTATTTTCCTGTATCTCCCTATGTTTTTACTCGACAGTTAAAGCATAAATTTCTGCATTACTAATTTGCTAACAGTTTTTTAAAGTTCCTGGTTTCAGATTTGAAAGAAGTGTATTATATTTTCAAATGAAGCAGAATACAATTCCATACTTTCATGTAATAGGAATATGAAAATATCAGTAAACAAATTTTCTGAACATAAGCAGATCAAATTGATTTAATGGTGCTAGTATTCTATGAGGCAAAAATATTGCTTAATTATCCTAAGAATGTTTTGTAGCAGTGATACAAGCCTGAGTATAAAATCAGAGCTCCATCTTACACTTTATATTTTATTTATATACTTTATGGATCTGTTAAGAATTCAGAGACAAGTTTAGCAACTATAGAAAAGTTTTTTAAAAAGAAGTTACAGTCTTTCCAAGTATTTTAAGTTAACTTTCTTTATGGTTTCTTTTTCTTCCCCCAGTTGGAGTTTTTTAAAATATTGGGTTTCCCACTTCCCTCTTTTATCTATTTTAATTCATTTGGCCATTTGTAGTCTTCTGGAAATAGTAATCAACAATACTTTAAGATTTTAATAGTGGTATATACAGTTATTGATGTCAAACATTAGAATATTATTACCATAGTTAAAGCTGCTATTAGCAGTCTGTCTCTGGAAAATTCACTTAACTATCTGGGTTTATCTTTTCATAAGTAAAACTAAAATAATAGCAATAATAATACCTGTCTTGACCTCGTAAGGGCTTTTATGGAAATCTGTTTAGTTAATGTGCAGAGTGCTGTGAAATAGATGGACATTGAATTTTTTCTTAATTTATGGTTCTGTTCTCAATATTTCATTATGAAAGAGTATATATGAATATGGTATATGATAAAATAGTATATTTCCAGAACTGACTAACTTGATTCTGATGTCCTTTTATGGTAGGATTTCATTTTTAAGCCATCAGTGCTCCTGACCTGTTGAAGCTCGAGTTGTATTTTTCTCTGACAGAAAAGAGATGGTAGAACCAATTGGATGTGTGGAGAGAATGTCTCAATGTGGTTCATGTAGGATGGTGGTGGCTCCATGCTCAAGCTTTTATTATTTTTTAAATTATTTGCTATCCACCTTATAGCATCAAAACTAGATTTGCTCCCTAAACTTACATTTTTTCGAACTATGTACTAGAAACTGGAACTGTTCAGCCAGTTAGATTTTAAAAGGATGTGAGGCAATACAGGGTTCTGTGCTTATCCCAAGTCTTACATGCTAGCTAGTGCCTAATTAATGTGGTGCAAACCCAGTCTATGAAAGTGTGTGTGGGGCGCGAGAGGGGGCGAGGGGGGTCTGCTATAGATACCACATAGCCCTGTTTCCTAGTTCTTGGACTGTTCTGCTAAGGGTCTAACTGTTCTGGTTGCTTTATATCAGTGATTCTCAACTTTCCCATGCCTTAGAATAACTGGGATTCTAACATATATATATACACACACATACACACACACACATACACACACACACACACACACACATACATACATACATACATACATTTAATTGCTGCCTTCATCTTTCCCCTTCCCCTAGTCTGTTTCAATTGATTTGGGGATAAAATCCTGGCATTTTTTTAAAAACCTCCCAGGACCTTCTAATACTCAGCTAGGGTCAGGAATCCAGCATTTATATGCTGAGGATAGCTTTATTTCTCATCTCAGTTGCATTTGAAAACATTGGGTTGAAAACGTTTCCCTATTCACTGATGGTCAGTTTAATTATTGAAATTTTAAAATCCTAGAAAATTACTTTGAAAATACCCAGCTTTAATAGAACAGTGCTTCTCAAACTTTAGAATATATAAGAATTGCCAGGAGAGATCATGAAAACATGTATTGCTGGATCATAAACAGAGAGTCTGATTCTGTAGGCGTTTAGTAAGGTTTGATAATTTGCTTTTCTAACCAGATTCCAGCTGATGGGGGAAGCTACTG